GAAGAATCACCGTAAAGTGAGAATAAAGAACCCTTCCTTTTAAGCATAGGAGGCTCCAGAGGCTAAGACGGAGAAGAATCGGTGGCGAGAGATCATAGAAGCAAGCTATAGCGAATTTGTCATGACGTCAATTCATGGGCTAATCACTGGGTGCTGGATATGATATCTCATATCATGGATATAATATGATATGATATGATATATCCCATGAGCAAAAGCAAAATAGCCGTTGTGCCCTTAATCAGGCAATTTCGTATCACGAAGTCGGTACAAAGCCGTCTGCCTGCAAACCCTCTATCTACCTTGCGCTGGAGCTTCAACCCAATGACATGATCCTAGGCTGTGTCTTTTAAACAGAAACCATAATATACGTGATATTCACGCAAAAGAAGATGGGTGGTGGAAGGTTAGAAGAGGATGCAATTGAGCGATGGGTGGCTTTCGCATCAGAAAGCGCGTTATTAACGGCGCTAGAAGGCGCAGGTCAACCTCGGAAGCCCTCCTGGTTCTCAAATCCACGCTCGCTAACACGTGAAAAGGATGACAACTGCAATATCTATAAAATGCTGCTGCTACGGCAATTGTTCAGTTTCTGTTCAGTCTTCGCTAAAAGCACCGATGTACCGACACTGTAATCGTTCTCACCGTCTTCGTTTTTTTTTTAACAAATGCGCTATTTTGCACTTTTTTACATTTGAACAGCACCAGCTTATCACAAGAGCTGCCTTTAAAGATTAGTGGAAGTTGGCAAGTAGCCAGCACATATCCCAGCAATATGAACTGTACGCGTGTAGTGGTTTTAACTGACCTCGATCTCTTTCGCTACCAAAGCAGAATTGAGAACGCACTGCGGTCTTTCTTTCAGCCATTCCAACAACGAAGGAAAGAAGTAAATCTTATCTCCGCTGGCATTTTGCGACACAAGCCTCACTTTCCAAAAATCTGTAACACGTTTGTGCAATTCATTGACTGCGATGAGCATCTGAATTGACTGTCCACACACAGCAAACCAGGTCCACAATCGCTCAATAGAACTCAACATATTGCTAACGTAGAACTGCTTCAGTACCTGCCCGCTGATCATTGTTAGAGAATTCAGTCATCTTCGGATTGCGGTAGGAAACACGTTCGTCCATAAATGTTGGTACAACAACAGGGTACTTGAGAAACACGACCGCTGAAGTTAGTCAGCTTTGGCGAAGATACTAATGTGAGCACATTATAAGCGACACCAACGATGAGAATGTTGCACATGACTACCACGACGAAAAAAAATAAATTTTCTATTATACGGGGACCCACTGCCTAACCCGCGGGGATCCCATGCGATCGCGGTTGAATTCGAACATTCCAGCTTCTCACGCATGTCAAGTGACTGCCCTCACCCCCCACCCCCCTAGACTGGCTACACTGCCCCTGGCTCACGGATTCCCCGCTCCACATTGAAGGGTTCACTGTAGCAGGAGGCAGTGGGACCCGTAACGAATGGCGTCCTTTACTAGTCAGTAGGAGTACAAAACGATGCTCCACCTGCGCCGTGATCAGGTAGTAGACACAAACTTACCACACCAAGAAGAAGGCTTGCATCAATCAGAGACACCAACTCTCGGGAGGGACAGTGTTCATTGCGCTCGTACATATCCAAATAGCTTCGTTGCAGATGTTTCACTAAAAACCAGAGATGTGCAGTAACCTTTGGACGCCCTTGTTGATTTTCCATAAATATTCGCTCTCGGCAAAACTGACTAAAGTGTCACGACAAGGTTCTCACCTAGATCTTGTGTAGAAGGTTTAATATTCACATAGCCACCAATGTACGAAGTTACTGGATCTCCCCTAACACCTTGAGTGCCATATTCTTTTTGCGCAGCCGCCGCCAACTTGTCTGGTAGTTGTATACCCAGCTGCAAATACCCGTACAAGTGAAGCCACCGGAATGTGTCTGTGTTAAAAAAAGAGATAAAGAAATGATGGTCCTGTGCACCTTCCTGGTTTTTAATTTCTCGAGTGCACCTTAGAATAGCAAACGGACAGGGTCCGAAAGTTAGTCAATGTAAAAAAAATTGTAAATAATTCATGAAAAATCAGCACTGAATACGTCGGACCAGGGACATGAGAGCTCCATTTTATAGGTATATAAATGAGCCATCCCTCTAACTGTGTAACTTCATCGTCATTCATACCATAATCGGATAAGATGTGAAACTCAGGTCTCTCAGAAAGTAAAGTCGCTGTTACAAAGATGTTTAGAGATCCTGTCATTGATGCTTCGCTGGAAATGAAAGCAGAGCTGCGAGGTGGACCCAAAGTGGAAAAAAGAAGAATCACCGTAAAGTGAGAATAAAGAACCCTTCTTTTTAAGCATAGGAGGCTCCAGAGGCTAAGACGGAGAAGAATCGGTGGCGAGAGATCATAGAAGCAAGCTATAGCGAATTTGTCATGACGTCAATTCATGGGCTAATCACTGGGTGCTGGATATGATATCTCATATCATGGATATAATGGGTATGATATGATATATCCCATGAGCAAAAGCAAAATAGCCGTTGTGCCTTAATCAGGCAATTTCGTATCACGAAGTCGGTACAAAGCCGTCTGCCTGCAAACCCTCTATCTATTATACCTTGCGCTGGAGCTTCAACCCAATGACATGATCCTAGGCTGTGTCTTTTAAACAGAAACCATAATATACGTGATATTCACGCAAAAGAAGATGGGTGGTGGAAGGTTAGAAGAGGATGCAATTGAGCGATGGGTGGCTTTCGCATCAGAAGGCGCGTTGTTAACGGCACTAGAAGGGGAGTGATCATTTTGTACTCCTACTGACTAGTATAGGGCGCCATTCGTTGCGGGACCCACTGCCTTAACCCGCGGGGATCCCATGCGATCGCGGTTGAATTCGAACATTCCAGCTTCTCACGCATGTCAAGTGACTGCCCTCACCCCCCACCCCCCTAGACTGGCTACACTGCCCCTGGCTCACGGATTCCCCGCTCCACATTGAAGGGTTCACTGTAGCAGGAGGCAGTGGGACCCGTAACGAATGGCGTCCTTTACTAGTCAGTAGGAGTACAAAACGATGCTCCCTAGAAGGCCAGGTCAAAAACTCCACGGATGCCCTCCCGTTCTCAAATCCGCTCGCTAACACGGAAGGATGACAAACTGCAATATCCTATAAAATGCCTGCTTGTTTTGCCACGGCGATTATTGCTTCATGTTCTCTTCTCTTAAAAGCCACCGAGTGTACCAACAACCACGTATCTTTCTTCACCGTTTTCGTTTTTTTTTTTTCAACAAATGCGCTATTTTGCACTTTTTTTACATTTGAACAGCACCAGCTTATCACAAGAGCTGCCTTTAAAGATTAGTGGAAGTTGGCAAGTAGCCAGCACATATCCCAGCAATATGAACTGTACGCGTGTAGTGGTTTTAACTGACCTCGATCTCTTTCGCTACCAAAGCAGAATTGAGAACGCACTGCGGTCTTTCTTTCAGCCATTCCAACAACGAAGGAAAGAAGTAAATCTTATCTCCGCTGGCATTTTGCGACACAAGCCTCACTTTCCAAAAATCTGAAACACGTCTTGAACAATTCATTGACTGCGATGAGCATCTGAATTGACTGTCCACACACAGCAAACCAGGTCCACAATCGCTCAATAGAACTCAACATATTGCTAACGTAGAACTGCTTCAGTTACCTGCCCGCTGATCATTGCTTCGGATTGCGGTAGGAAACACGTTCGTCCATAAATGTTGGTACAACAACAGGGTACTTGAGAAACACGACCACTGAAGTTAGTCAGCTTTGGCGAAGATACTAATGTGAGCACATTATAAGCGACACCAACGATGAGAATGTTGCACATGACTACCACGACGAAAAAAAATAAATTTTCTATTATACAAACGAGAAATCGACTGAAAGAATGTCGATGCTGAAATGTCGTTCGATCGACTAACAATAAACATAATGACAATCGATGCTGTTGAACATTTTACAAGAGAGGAAAACACTAGCTTGAAGATCTTTTGCCCTCCGTAACGACTCAACAGGTAAAACCAACTACGCAGATCACGATGAGTTTATGAATAGCTAGGGCAATAAGAAGAAAATGGGCACACGTGTAGCACAAGGAAATTTTTTAGAGCAGAGATCAAAAACTCTTTAAAAATTTTTATTACGTTGCCTGCACAAACTACTGCACCCAGAAGCCGTGATGCATGCTTCTGTGAACAGGATAGCGATCCGATCTCTCTCCCTCCCCGGCGTTAACCTGGGGCCGTATGCTGAATGTTGGGTAGGGGACGGGGATGGGTAAATGTTGGGGAGGTTCGTCGCAGGACCCACTGGGCAACGGCCGCACCTTTGATTTTGCAGCTTTGTTTCCATTCTTTCATCGCTGCTTTTGGTATGAAGAAAGGTATTTACGTGCGAATATACAATCAGAAACAGTAAAAGGATGGAAACAAAGCTGCAAAATCAAAGGTGCGACCGTTGCCCAGTGGGTCCTGCGACGAACCTCCCCAACACACCCATCCCCGTCCCCTACCCAACATTCAGCATACGGCCCAGCATACGGTACTGGCTGGAGGGAAGGGGAGGGGTTCGTAAGGACAGAACGCAACTTCTCCCATTTTCGAAACATTTTTCGTCGTGGGGACTCAAGGTCTACTCATAATCTCCGCTGGAACTGTGGTCCCAGCAGCGAAATATTTTGCTCTGCGAAGTAAAAAGAAGTCGTTTTCTGTTCTAGCGAACAACAACCGGGATGAGGAGGGGGATGCACGCGCCGCGGCGGCACGTTTACGTCCTCTTAGGCTGGTGTCAAGGTCCGCGATCCGTCGCAGGTTTCGCTGATTTTCACGACTTGTGCAATTTGCGGCTCCCAGACAATACCTAACCATTTGGGCGCGGCCGCGGCGAACGCGGCCGAGTCGATTGTGCCCGCGAACCGTTGAAAACGCACTCGAGGTGCCCGCGAACTGTGCTGTGCTGAGTTCGCGGGCACCTATCAACTCGGCCGCGTTCGCCGCGGCCGCGCCCAAATGGTTAGGTATTGTCTGGGAGCCGAATTTGCGCGAAACTTGCGACGGATGGCAAAAATTGCAAGTGTGTGAACCCCTTGCAGTATTGACCGGGCACTTGTGATTTCCGTGACCCGTCGCGTGAATCGCGCAAATCGCGAAAATCGCGAAAATCGTGCAAATCAGCGAAACCTGCGACGGAAGGCGGACTCTGACACCGGCCTTAGAAAGTCATTTGTCTACTGGAATCGAAGAAAACGGAAGCCAGACATTCCCGAAAATATGAAGTCATTCAACCTCACCCATGGTTAATCAGTACTCATTCCGTAGCATAACCACTGTAAGGATGAATATGAAATGAGATCAAATGAATTAGAAGGCAAATTTAACAGGAGTAATGGAGAATGTGCCTGAAATTTCAATCCTGCAGCCAAACCGCGCATTACTAGTTGATGCGCTGGGAGCGAAAATTTCAGACACAAACATGCAAGAAATACAAAAGAAACGCATGTAAAAGCGCGAAGAACCGTGACCCATTCTAGCAAAGTAGCAGAGTATTCATGCAAAACGGTGCATGCAAATGAGTAGAAAAAATTGAGACCAATGTTCAAGTACCAACTTCAAGCTCAAAAAGCAAAAAAACGACGAATGAGCCGTAATGAAATGCCGCCGCCGCTGCCGCAAAGCAAGCAGCGTACGCGATTTCGCAAGTTCAAGTTTCGTTTCGGGACTACCTGATCACGGCGGGACCATATAGGGTTTGCAGCTTAGCGGTCCTTCAGTACTGCTACGAGTAGGGCTTAGCGTGGAGACTGCACTAGGACTCGCAATTCTTGCAACGTTATTTGGGAGCTTATTCCAAAGAGGGGGCCGGTGCATACGTTGGAAGGGACCACGCCACTGAGCAGCGCTGGATAGTTAAACACAACAAAACGGACCCATTCGGGATTGATCTCAATGGAAAAATCGCAAGCGTGCACGGATGGCCGAGTGGTCTAAGGCGCCAGACTCAAGAATTAACTTGCCGCGAGTCAGCGGATTGAGCGTTCTGGTACTCGTATGGGTGCGTGGGTTCAAATCCCACTCCGTGCAAAATTTTATCAGTGGTTGACAACCGATGGGGATAAACACAACAAAACAGACCCACTCGGGATTGATCTCAATGGAAAAACGCAAGCGTGCACGGATGGCCGAGTGGTCTAAGGCGCCAGACTCAAGAATTAACTTGCCGCGAGTCAGCGGATTGAGCGTTCTGGTACTCGTATGGGTGCGTGGGTTCAAATCCCACTCCGTGCAAAATTTTATCAGTGGTTGACAACCGATGGGGATAGCAACACAACAAAACAGACCCACTCGGGATTGATCTCAATGGAAAAACCAAGCGTGCACGGATGGCCGAGTGGTCTAAGGCGCCAGACTCAAGAATTAACTTGCCGCGAGTCAGCGGATTGAGCGTTCTGGTACTCGTATGGGTGCGTGGGTTCAAATCCCACTCCGTGCAAAATTTTATCAGTGGTTGACAACCGATGGGGATAGCAAACACAACAAAACAGACCCACTCGGGATTGATCTCAATGGAAAAACCGCAAGCGTGCACGGATGGCCGAGTGGTCTAAGGCGCCAGACTCAAGAATTAACTTGCCGCGAGTCAGCGGATTGAGCGTTCTGGTACTCGTATGGGTGCGTGGGTTCAAATCCCACTCCGTGCAAAATTTTATCAGTGGTTGACAACCGATGGGGATAGCAAAACACAACAACTTCCCATAGCATTGATTATACGAAGTTATACGACAGCGAATCGAAGAGCGGTCGTATCGTATCCCTCCGAAGGGGGGGGTCGCAAAAATTCTGAGATCTGCGTCTGCGCAACGCACGTTTGACCCTGCCTGCGGTGCGGCGCCTGGCACAGTGCATAATCACAGTCGCGAACGCGATATCAATCGCGGTTGCATTTGCGGTCGCAAATGTCTGACACCTAGGTATTATACATCAACGCGCCGCAGTAGCGCACCCGTGGACCACCGTTGCGCCGAGAGGCCGGACGCATAGTCGGTCGGACGACAGCAACGACTGCAAGTGTCGCACAGTATTGGGTGCGTATCGATCTGCGGCACTTGCAGTCGTTGCTGTCGTCCGACTGCTGCTGTCGGACGACAGCAACGACTGCAAGTGTCGCAGATCAATACGCAGCTACTATTCCACACTACAGTGGGACTTTCGAAATACGATCACGCGCAGTCACGTGTTGTCTGGGTTTGCATTGGGTGACCGCGTCGCCTTCCATTTGCGACCGCGGTTTATGCGACACCTGCAGTCGTTGCTGTCGTCCGACCGACTATGCGTCCGGCCAGTCAGTGATGGAGCTGGGTCTCCCGCAGTGAAGAAAGGTTCGCTCCGCAAGAAGT